GGTCCCTCAAATACACTTAATACTCGGATTACACGTTGAAATCCAATAAATATCCAATTGAAATCAACAATTTAACTCAATTGGTGATCAAATGTGAGATTATATTCACTCAAAACATACGGAAAAAGCAAAATCATCCAATCAATTGTTGGGTGAAATGATGGCATTTTTATGTACTAATTTCATCGGCATATTACTTTTCTTTCGAAAGCTATATTACTTTTAGGAAAGGGATAAATGTCCAGCCCAATTATTTTCAGATTTTCTCATAAAAATTTTATTTCACACTATATTAGTCCACAAATTGTTGTAAAGATGCGCATCGTTACAGAATGAAAAATTATTTGAAATAGGAATTTATGATCGCCTACTTTAATTTAGTGCAAGATCGATTTCTATCAACTATTCTTTTTATCATATATCTTGATTTCATATGTTATGTAGCTGTAATGTTATCAGTAGATATGTGTCATCCTGCCATTGGGGTAATCCTGTGGGAACATTTCTAACGAATGGAAAGAGGGTACACTATTGAAATTCAACTAATATAGCAAAATAATCACAAAAACAAAGCACACTCAATATAATACAACGAAATATCGAGTAGAGTAAAGTATTCCAGTTTTTTTTCTGTTCTATTTTCTCAGACTACTATGAAAGCAGTCATATTTTCATTAGTACTGAGTAACCAAACAAAACTTGCAGAATAGAATAACGCCATAAATGTTGACAATTACTCTATTTTTCGGAAAAAGAGAGATCATCCCTAACACCGCACCACAGTAAGCACCCTCACTTGTATGGACTACCTAAAATCCACAAAAAGCCTGTTCCGCTGAGACCGATCATTAGCTCCAGAGATTCAGCCACTCAGAACTTGTCCAGATTTTTACTACCAATAATTAAACTACTGCAAGGTGAAACATCTTTTGTGAAAAATTTAAGGCATTTTGTTGAACTACTAGGGGAAATCGAAGTCAAAGAGCAGGATCAACTGATCAGTTTCGATGTGGAAAGCCTCTACACCAACGTTCCTGTCGTAGAAGCACTTCAAATCATACAGAAGAAGCTATCCGAAGATGGGGACCTGCAAGATACAACAAACTTACCGATACAAGTAATTATAGAATTACTAGGATGCTGTGTACGAAACTGCTACTTCCAACTGAAGGACGAATTCTTTATGCAAGATGAGGGACTGACTGCCAATGGGATCGCCACTTTCACCGGTTTAGCCAATATATATTAAAAACCAGCTACTTGAAGTTTTACAGACAAAAACATTTGAAAAAGTGTATGCCCTTGTGAGTATTGCTAAAAAGTATGGACACACCATACTGAGACTTCCCTCCATTTTTGTGTTTTCAATCCCATAGAGTTGACTTGAGGAAAACTGAAACAAAGCATCAGGCGTGAAAATAATTTTCCAAAATTTGATAAGAAGGTGATAGAGCTAGTTAAAAAAGAAGCATCTGATATTACCAAAGAAGACTGGCAGAAAAAGATTAAAAAAGTAATTTTAGTCGAAAAAGACTATATGGAGATTGGACACTTCCATATCAATGATGGAAGTAATTTCATTATTGACTTCAATGATGACAGCGATAGTGAAACGGTGGATGGTGGATGGTTTGAACTTGCGGGTATCCACATCCACCATCACACAAAATGGCTGCCTATAACGCATTCATATATAGAATTTTAAGGATACCACTCAGCAATGAAGCCCGAAACAAAGAACGGAAAATCATATACCAAATAGCGAACGAAAACGGATACACCTAAAAGGCAATAGATAAACTAGAAAACAGAATCAAACGAAAAATACAGAACAAGGATCAAGCTACCCCAACAGACAAAACAACACAACGATGGACAGCATTTACGTACGTAGGACACCAAACCAAGAAACTAACAAACATCTTCAAACCACTGAACATCACATACAAGCCGAACACGAAGATAACACAAAAAATAAACAACTATGAAAAAGAAGAAGACAAAAACCAAAACGGGATATACAGTATACAATGCTCGGACTGCAACAAATTCTATATCGGCCAAACCAAGAAAAACTGATCCAAAGGTACAATGAGCACAAAAAGGCATACATAAATCCAACAGTATATAAATCAAACCTTGTAACACATGCCATACAAAACAAACATAATTTCCCCCCACCAGAGAACATAAAACTAATAAAACCGCATGGACATTTGGGAAAACTTGAACATCCATAAATTTAACAGTCATAAATCACTTATCGAGGAACAAGTACATATCAAAACAAAACAAGATCTCACATTGAATATATTAAACAAAACCATACACATTCCTAAAGAAGATCTAACACGAAGAAGAGTACCTGATGCAGAACAAATACAGGCAAATTTACCTAAAGTACCCGAAATACCTGAGTTAAGACGCTCTGACCGTATGAAGAGACAGACAACAGGATGGCCTGTTCAGTTTGAGGAGTGCCAGATGATGACAGTACTACCAACTGTCGAAAGCGCTCGCAGATTATTAATAGAAGATATAAAGCTTCAAATCCTTTTTGTAGAATTTAATATTGAAATATTATGCTGAACTGGTTTTTCCGGGTATTTGATCCGTGTATGTGATATTATCTCTAATTTCACCGATGTTTCGACAAAATCTCATTTGTCATTATCTAGGTTTGCTGTTACGTGTTCAGAAGTTTGTTACTTCTTACTATACTGGTAAAATGGTATTCGTTACGTGTTCAGAGATAGAGTGTCCATAAACTCTCTACTACCTACTACTTAAATGTTGTTGAGTTTTACCTGAGTTCTTCTTCTTCTTAGTTGACCTCATCTCCCCGAAAAGGTATCGAATATGAAATCTGTGCCACAGGTTTGACATTGTTACATATAATGCATGTCGACACTCCGGTGAAGTTTGTTGGGGGCCTCTCGCAAGCATCACAACAATTCTGCCTCATTTCCATAATAAAGACGGTGTTGTGGGTGTTGACATGATGATACCACCCTCCATTGTTATTTCTGTGTGAATAAAAACGAAAGCAGCACCAACATAGTTTCTTGTTACCACCATCAATTGTGCTGATCAACACGTATGCATCCATTGCACAATATAAGTCCAATAGATCTTCTAATGTCTCACTGACATTGAGCATTCGCATACCGATCCTCAAAGAAGAAGAAGTTTTTCACCTTTACAACCAGAACTCTTTGATGTTGAGTCTTGTGAATGGGAAAGTCTGAGAGAGACTATTTCTTCTGCAAAACCTGTGCGAAATGATCTGATCGCCGTCAAGACTTATTTTTCGTCAACATGGAGTGAAATACAGTTTGTGTCATGTATTGGTTTTTGACAGCGTCAATATTTAGCTCGAAGTTCAGTTGGGGTAAGATCCATCGTCTGCAAAACTTCATTCGACACAGATGTTGAGAAATTAGTTTTCTTTTCAGATCAGCCCTCGAATTTTTGAATGAACCTTGCTGATCAGGTGTTGGGAATGTTATTCTTGATGAGTGAAGTGAGAGTGGTGGAAGGCAAAAGTATCTGTAAGCGGAACAAATCAAATACTCTCAATGATCTAACGAATTGCTCTGAATGCATTCATCAATAGTTTTTCTCAAATCTTCTGCAGCACACATCCTTGCTCCTTTGGGAATTCTCTTCCATATGTGAGGATGGAGTTTATATAGAGAAAGTCTATCAATGACAGCTTTGGTAGAGCATGCACCACGCTTGGATTCATTAATTGGTGCACATTTTCGAATAGAAGGAGAAAACGTTGTCGACTCAGATTTATGAATTTTTCAAAATAAAGGATACTTTTTGCCTCTGAGATTTCAATTCTGAAAATTCCTCTCTACATCAAACCTACGAATTACAGGTGTAGTATACTGCATATTTATTACTTCTACGTCCTCGATTTAATTTTCAACACATTCCTTCAATAGTTTTGACAACATCAGTGAATCTCTCGGAAAATATGTGTGCTGGTGGTAGAATTTGCATTTCTCACTATCAATAGAAAAGTTAAGAAACACGGACCTACGAATCGGAGCAAAATTGGTTTTTAATGGAGTGCAAGAAACAAATAACTGGCCAATTGAGTTTGTCACAACACTTGGAATCCTTTTCAAGAGAGGAAATTTTGGATGAACATGAAAAACCGATATGTTCGAGTAGCAAAGAAAAAAGAAAATGCACGAAGTATCTATCAATATTCGTTTTCAAAGATTCTCTTTAACGGAAAAATTTACAGCCAAGTTGATTGTTGCCATCGAATTTCCGCAGAATGTATTAGATATGAGCAATTATGAAGCAGACAATGACTCCTTGTCATTATAATCTATATACACCTACGAATCATAGTGGGTCTACTTACAGTCGCCAGCATACTGCAGACATTCCTACACTGGCACGAATACAACGACTCACACGTGAAAAAAAAACTTCTCATGAAAGTGAACACAGACGATATAATCCTCCCTGAAGATTCAGTGTAGAAGGGTTAGCGAGGAAGCTGAAGCCTGGACATATCAACTTCTTGTGGTTGGTGGTTAGGTCATTTCGGTTGATATATGTTGAAACCCATCTTCTTGTATGCGACGTAGGCGTACAAATGAATATATTCCAAAAACTCGAGCTATGGGCTACCATTTGGAAGAATGGCTGCTTTAATCGATTGTAGTTCTTCTAATTATAAGTCTTCAAAATGAAGCTATCTATGATGACTTCGGGTGATCCTGTTTTATTTTCTCGTCTAATTCTGGTTTGATTAACATATGATGGTGGACATCCGTTCGGAATTTCGAATGAGTAACCCTCGGAAATCAAATTTTAGTTTTTTTTGTTTGCAAAATATTCAGATGAATTTGATAGTCTCGAGATTTGGAAGAAGAAAAATCCATTTATTCGAATAATCTCATGCTTGATATGTATGTTTCAATCTAGTTGTTAGAGTGACCGTTTGATACGTGCTCCATTGTACACCACATTTTATCGCGTGATCAAATATGTTCGCAGGAATAATCGCAGCTATTGAAATTGACAATATTTGACAATAATTGTCATTTTGTCTAATTGAAATTTATGAAAGAAAATGTATTGTCTCATCAAATACATACGTAAGTTTCCAAATAATGTAGAGAATGATATTGAAATCACAAAATAATATTGTTTTCAACGTGCATTGCAGACTACAAAGATTTTCAAAGTATTATCAATTTGAAGGGTACAGAAAATTTGGAAATTGACAACAAACAGCTTCTGGTAAATCCTGATTGTTTTATTGGAATAATCCTTGAATATGTTTATGAACAAATTGGGGTGATAGCCGAAGTGCGAGGTAAATTCATATAATTATCAATCCATTATTTTTTTAACCCCACCATTAGTGATGTGTTTTAGCAAACCAAAATTACTTATACCAAAGAAATGTCAAAAATATCATTCAAGGTTGCGACAATCTTGACAAGCATTTCGACAAATGATCTTACATTTCGCGTTCTCTCACGACTCGAGTCTATAATTCAAAAAACGGAATTGTCATTTTGAAACCGTTATCCCATTTTCAGAAACGCAGCTTCTAGCTCCGTTTTTTATACAATTCTGATATCGGAATGACCACTCCGTCGGTCTCATACTCTTTGATTCTTCTTTCAAATTCTACTTTTTATTCCGTGGCAATCAACGAAATCTTTGAAGTAAAGTTATGGGGAATGTGAAATCAAAGATTATTTGTTGAAGTACTTGTCGAAATTGTTACCTAAATACTGGCTGTATCCATGAGACAGACAATGTTCACAAACATTCTTATTTCTAGATGCGTTTCGCTAATACCGTAGCTTCTTCGGTAGAAGTGAATTAATTTCTAATTATTAACATAGATAGTCTTATCAATTTCTGGTCAGTACGTTCATAATTCAATACTGTCAGTGTTTTCATTGTGGTTTTAGGGCACCAGTAATTATGGCCATTCTACCAGTTTGGATATCATAAAATATCTCTTATATATCTTGTTGTAATGTAAGAATAGCTGTTTATTTTAATTTAATTGTGAACCGATATTACCTTTCTTGTCTTTTGTAAACTACTCTTTTATTCCCCTTTCAGTTGCTACTTTTCATTCCGCTTCTATCGATAGAATGATATGAATGGGGTATTGTAGGGGTAGGTCCAGAGAGATTGGGCCTTCCAGTGAGTGCCTGATCAGAGGTCAGTCTGCGACTACCTTCGTCAATTCAAGCGGCACAAATGTGTGGCTTATGAAGTAGGCCTCCTGTGACGCATTTCAGAGGAACGCCCTCCCATGAGTGAAGGTACTTATTGAAGCCACAGGCTCACTTGCTCCTGTCAGGTAACCTGTAGTCACCCAGGTAGCTATGAGCGGTGCTTCTGCTAATTTTGTAGCCGGTTAGAAGCCGTTATTTGGGGTACATAGGATTTATACAGTTTGACACACTTAAGATGAAGACACTCCTGTATTTTAGTAATTTTTGAAAGCAGATATTTGATTTTCAGCAAAGGCATAGACCTTCATGGGCCACACTATTCGCAATACTTAGCCCTAGTAACAGCCTCAAACCCAGGCTACTGCGTTCTTGTGAACCCAGGCTACTGCGTTCTTGTGAAAATTTCGATTGGTAATTACTAAAAAGCCATTTTCAACGGAAAATGAAATAAATAATAATATTAGAAGTCAGTTCCTCAGTTCCTAATATTGTATCTCTCAACTAAAACGCCCTCATTTCTGATGCATTTTTCAATTATTTTTCTACTATCATTTTCCATTCTCCTATGTTCTAGAATACTCATTTCACGGCAGGCTTGCCGTGATCTCTCACAGAGTTCTTGTCGATTTCGTGGCCTAGACTTGTTAATAATAATAATATTTCATTGATCCATTAGAATGAGCCTAAAAGAATCAATTGGACAAATCAGTACATATCAGATACATATATAAAATACAACTATAAAACAGACACATTCATATAACAAGAGTTATTGAAACAACTGAACGAAGCAGCAAAAATAAAAAATAATACAAAACATTTTTACTAATGTAGATAAGAAAAAACTCATCGATTGTATAGGGGCTAATTTCAAAAAGTAGTTGTTTCATTTTATGTTTGAATACTTGTTCCTTGGTTATGATTTTGAAAAAGTCCGGAAGTGCATTATATTAACCTCAGTATGTGAAAATATGTTTTGATGCGGGTATTCTATTCACGGAAAGATTGTTTTGTTTAAAAAAATCGTTATTTTTATAGATGTACACTGCTACTACTGGCCTCCATGTTATTCACTAAATTGATAATCTCTTCACATTTTTTTGCGTGGCAAGTTGCAGCAAGGGTTGTGTAAGATGTTTTTCGGTAATAGTCAGACTGTTAGAGGTTTTTGAACACTCGGCAACGCTGTTGAGAGGGTTCAGGTTCACAGACCTGGACACATCTTCTTTATCTGAATAGTTTTTTTCCGTGTTTAATTTTTTGTTGGTGTCTCCAAGATTTTTTACAATAAAACATTCGTCATTTCTTTCAATGGAACAATTTGTCCATGCATCAAATCTACTGTGTCACGAAGTTCTTGTATAATCTTTCTGTTTTACAATATAATTAAAAATATTAAGATCAACTACCTTACTTTGAGAGTTTTCTTTAAGCGTTAACGGTATTATTGAAGAAAAACGGTCCAATTATTCTCTCGCCTAAAATACCACACCATTCATTAACTTTTTGAGAGTATTGGTCCATCAGTAGAGATTTTCAGTAGACCAGTATCTCCAATTTTCAGCAGATATTATTCCATTCATAGTGAACGAGGCCTCATCAGAGAACAAAATTGTTCTTAGGAAACTTATATCACATAAAAAATTCTTTCGAACCCAATAGCAGTAATCTATTCGTTTATATTCGCCACCTTCTTTCAATGTGAGTTGAAAGGTTTAATTTCATGATGAACAAGACATCTTCTTATTTTCTTTTCACTCAACTTTATCTGTTCAGACCTCTCTGTTCAGACCCATTTGGGGATTGGTACGAATTGAAGCTGAGCCATTTTCATCATCATGGTACATTTTATTTCGATGTGAATTGTGAATAGACACACAATTCTCAAATATACTTTCGGTTTGAGTAAAAAGTTTATTCACGGAGGCTGCCGTTCCATGTTGAATATGATTTCGTTGCGGATGTCTTCTGTTGAATTCTTGAACAACTTGTAAGTTACTTGTAGCACCATCACCAAATAATATTATTATTTCAATTCTTTCACGTGAACTAAAACGTTCAATGTACATTTTATTACAATTTTTGACGCGTTCACTTTCAAACTGACATTTGGGGTATAGATAGTTTATTTGTTTCCATGACACTCTAGCTCAAATTGAAAACCGTTGAAACACAAAATATGAGACTGCTTTGAAACATTGAGAATGGCAATTTTCATTCAAAATCAGGCAAATTCGCAACCAATCATATTCAACAGTAAACTGAAAAATTCCTCACAATCTGAGACAGGCTAGTCAGGAAAATGAATAACGATACGGCACTTAATTGGTCACCAGGGTAATGATCCAACACTTTATTTATTTGTCACCCCTTGTAATGATCCCACCAACCGTCACCACTTGTAACGATCGGCATTAACTTAACTGTCACCACGTGTAACGCTACGACTTCAACTGTCTGTCAACACTTGTAATAATAGTATAATAGTACAATATTGGTTGCAATAAAGGGAAAACTAAAATACGCCTTGTTTCAAAATATTGATTGGTTGACTATATACACTTTTACTTGTTTCAACACTTTTTCATTTTTTAGACAATATCGATTTTGCAACCGACAAAGGAAAATTATTACAGGTCAACAATTTTCCGTCAGAAACAAACGGTCAACAAATATTTAATGACAAAATGACATACTATCTTATTAACTACCACAGTGAGTAAAATTCATTTACTTTCTAATGCATTTTCTAATTATCGAACCTCAAATTATCAACAAGATAAAGAATTATGTCCTGTGCTGAGTCCAACTTCAAAAGAATTTGAAGAATTCATGTCCTACCAGGAGAGACGATCTTCAGTGTTGAAGGTAAGAAATCAATGGTTACAAGGTGATCAGGAAAGTAGGAACTAGTAGGTAGTATTATATTGGTAGGTAATTGCTATACATCAAAGTAATATCAGTAGAACACAAAACAAATCACAGTAGGTGCAGATAAGAAAATTTAATTAAAGATCAGATGAACAAAAAAATCCGATTTTAGCTTTCGTCTCTAGAACATATCTCTCTCAGTTTCTTCATTCGAGCTCTTTCTAGTAAAGTTGAATACTAAAAACAACAATTATAATGCCAAAATAGTAGATGCTTCGTTGTCATAAATGTTTCAGTGAATGAATTTCATGTAGTTCATTTCAAAACACCATTGCGTTGGGTACTCTGGTTAAAATAATGATCAAGGTCATCTTGAGGTGGTTCTCCCGTTTCAATTGAAACCAAAAATTCACGTAAAAATCGCTGTATTTAATAGAAAGGATGAATATGATGGATGAATTGTACAGCACACTTGAGTTTAGATGAGACAACGTCTGCGCTGCAATAAATTTTCGTGTCTATTCTAACCAAAACAATTACGAACATATCCGCAGTATCGAACGAATGATTCAGCTCAGAAAATTCAGAAAACAAGCTTTCATGCCAATGACGAACGTCAGAAGAAAAAAACGTGAAAGAATCAAGTAGGTACCGATGAAATGTCCGCAAAATATTTATCGAGGCACGAGTCTAGTGGATTGAAGGAGCTTGAAAAAACGTGATATACTGTAACTGCAATCAAAACAAATTTTCAAAAAAAAGTATGAACAAAATAAAATCGAAGAATTTGCATGCTAATATGTTTACCTACTCAGATATCAAGAAACTGGTTTAAATGTGCAAATCCACAATTTCCAAATATTTGTCAAGCAAATCACTTGAGTCTATAATAGTTTGAGATATAAAGACTGTAGTCAAGAGATTAACGAATGAAGTATAAATGGTCTTCAAAACACACGCGATGTTTAGAGCACAAAAGAGCAGCGGGAGTACTCGACATCAATGTATCTGCCTTTTATTGTGAAGGAAATGAGAAAAACAAACATAAATTTTTTATCTGTTATTAATTGTCATCAGTATAGTTGTAATTAGTTAATTGAATGGATGGAAGATCAAAAGGCGAAGGACACTGATAATCGACTTGTGATTTCCTTACCTGCAGAAAATGTCGGAGCAGTTCCTATGAAGACCAAAAATCTAAGCATCATTATATTTGCGGTCCTGGTATTTTTTACTCCATTTCTGAAATCTTAATTTTTCGATTATTGGTGGTTGGCAAGTTGACTTGGGTGTCACACCAATGGGTGGTTCCATTTATGTCTCGCTTGNGAAAGTCGTAAAGTGGCGACCTCTTCGATAGAGCGATATCGAACAATTACGGATATAATTTATAAAATTGATTTTGTAGAATAGATTTAGATTAGTTAGTCAGTTAGTAATATAATGTTAGTTTTAAGTTTATTTATATATGTAATTTTAGGAAAAAAAATAAAAATAAAAAAGAAATGAAATAAAGAGTGTACATGTTTCATAATGAAATCAACAAGTATATTTCATTTAAATTTTATCCATTCAAGTATCTCTTTCATTGAATATGTCTTATGTCACTTTGCAATTCACCCCCACTTAATCCCCACTCCTCCCCCACTCCCTCTCAAAAGTATAAAAGTAGGAATCATCTGATGAAACATTCAGTTGACCAGCTAGCTTCGAGATGGAACCTGATTCAACTAGCGAACCATACAGCTACCCGGGGTATCAGTTTCATTACTGGGAGAACTACCAGGAAGGATTTGTTACTTCCACCACGTCACCTCACTCGCTTGAGCCCGACTTCCCGGATCATGAATACAGGGTGCAAGTGTTACACGTCACCGGGACCGACCAAGCAGACCTTTCGGACAGTGAGTACCCGGATCCTTCCCAATTGGCTGAGGATCATCATGAGTTCTGGAACTGGTACGGGGTTGACGAGCTCGATGAGTGAGGCGACTCCTACGAGTCCGACGAGTCCGATGAGGAAGATCCTCCTGACCCGCCTATCCTCATCGAGGATAGTCCTCGATGTTGGTTGGTGTACACAAGACATTGCGAGGTTGGGGCAGTGTCTCTCCCTCTCCCTTTCCCTTATTAGTTTTACAACATTGCATAGCCCCCACCTATCCCCACCTACATTTGAATAGTACAAATGTAGGAGTTCCTCAATCTAATATTCAGTTGAGTAGTTATCGCCAGCATGTCGACAATTCAGGAACCTGATTCCACGACCGGACCCCAGTTGGAACCCGAGTCGATACCTAGAGATCCCAACTCCGAAGACAACGACAATAATTCGGATGTGGACATGGACATGGAAGTCGATTCCACAACAGAACCACATAGATGTCCTTCAACGTTGGAGAACTTCGATTCCCGAATTCAAGTGCTTCATGGTACAATCACTGATGGTAGGGAAAGGAAGTCATACTTGGAGTATCCAGACCCTAATATGGCCCCTGATTCAGTAGCTGCTGAAATTTGGTCAAAAAGGCGAGCTCTCATGCACAATTGGGAAATATTGAATTCTGATGACGACTTGTAATCGTTTCCTTATTTCTCTCTCTCTCTCTATCTCCCACCTTTAATCCTTTCCTTCCTCGAAGTACACACTTTTTTGGTTGGTGTACACGAGACACTGCGTGGTTGGGGCAGTGTCTTTTTCCTCTCCCTTATTAGTTTTTTCTTAATTATCACTCAGAGTTCCATGAAGATTGTCATTCTTGTTGCTTTCGAATTTCAAACACTAAATTGTTCTACATTTACACTTCACCCCAATTTTTTTTATATGAATATAGCATCAATCCCAGTTCTACATCATTCTTTCACAATGTCGAGTGCCGATTCCTCTACCGAACCGATGAGTGTACTCTATATCAAGTACAAGACCCATCCAGGTACATGAAATAGATTCAACACTTACTCATTCCAATACAAGCTTCGCAGAATTTCTGCAACGCATCTATGATCTTCCTGATAATTTGCCAGAACGCGTAGAAGAACGTATGCAAGAGGAAGTAGATGTAGAGTTAGGCGATCGAGAGGATAACGAGCTACAGAATCATGCGGATGATATAATTAGTATATCATCTGATTCAGATGAATATGAGGGCGACATCATCAGTATATCATCAGATACAGATGATTCAGATGATGACACCATCATCATTGTTTCTGATGGTGAGGAGCGCTAGTCCATACTATTGTATGGATTAATAGGAAAAAAACAGCCATTTTCAGGGCTACAATTAGAGACAACAAACAACCATTTTCAGAGCTATCATTATACTTTCAAACAGAAATAGATTAACATTATAGTCAAAACTTGTGTTTTGCACTCATATATATATGTTTTGCACTCATCACTCATCATATGCACAGATATTCAATGATTAACAAAATCCTAACTTCGACTTTTTTAGTCAAAGTAGTCATTTGTCACATAATCTGTGAATTCTACTACTACTGTTTGTGTGAATTATGTAGCCCTGAAAAGGGCTGTTGTTTTTTTTTGAGAACCCCTAT